GTATTGGTGTTCTTGTTGAGGGTAAATGGGAAGCAAACCATCGGGCTCTGAACCACCCACGTAGACGGCAAGCTGATTACAATGTAAGTGCACAAGCTCTTTTTTTTATAGGTCAGTTCGGTACCCTCAGTGGATTCCACTCTTTAAATCCCTTCTGGTGTGTTTATGGCCAAACATGGTCTCGACCCTGAAATGGTGTGTGTCTTGTTAGAGCACCTTCTTCTTACGGGAAACCAAAAGAAAAACCACCATTTTGGGGGGCCCGAAAACAAGACACCCTTTTGACACGACCATTTGCCCCAGGCCTTGACCTACGCCTCACTCCTGGCGGCCTCTGCGTCTGCCTCGGCGCCTCTAAGCCTGGCGCGCCGCGGCCTGCGGCTGCTGAAATCCGCGGACATCCGGTCGCTGCAGGTCTACAGCGCCTCAGTTGGGGGTCTTGAGGGTACCTTTTTTGGTTGGCTTTCAAAGGGAAACCAACCGGAAAACCGAAGCCATTTAGCAAGACACGCCCAGTTGTCCAAAACCGAACTTGGGGTGAATTTAACAGGAACCCAGAATATTTTAAGACCACTCAGTTGTTCGAATCAGGCACTGGTTTCCAGCAGGACCTCGGCCGCTTCCCTTGAGTTGCCACAGTAGAGCGGCTCATGGCCTGCAAGGGACAGAAGGTGAAAATCCGAGCTTGTGGGTCGGGAAGGCAGGGACAACACAGGGAGGGGGGTGGATCTGGCTCACTTGCCCAAAACGCATCGACTCGCCGACCTTTGTTTTTTTCCGTTTAGTAAAGCTCCCAAAAGATTCACCGTTGATTTGGGCAGGGCTTGGGCCACAGAATCCAGAGGTGCGCTGGTTGAAAAACTGCTTTTTAGGAGGGAGGTCGAGAAGTGGACATCCCCAGCAGCAGGTTTTCCTGCAAATCAGGATCTTTGGGCGCAAGGGGGGTGAGGAGATTGAGGGTGAACCGAGAATGAGCAAGAACGCCAACGCTGGACAGCGCTAAGCGGTTTTCGGGCTTGCCCCAAATGGACACACCCCGCAGTCACGGCTCGGACTTGTTTCTGGGCTGGGGCTGATTCCCAGCTCGTCTGAAGGAGGGGCGTGCATTTGTGGCTCTATCTTTCCTGTGTGAGGAACAAATTCGGCCCCACAGGGCAAAACTGGGGGTGCCTTTTCGTGCCGGCCTTCTGTTTCGTCTGTCAATTAACACGGGGGGAACACATCCATTTTCCTTCGGACACAGGGTGGGGAGGGAGTCACTTACGGCCTTACGGCTTACATGAAACTGAGGGCCATGCAAACTCGCCTGAAAGGAACCCACGGTGTCTTCCAATTCTTCCAAGACCCCGCGTACAGTACCCTCGTTGGTGAGGCCCCACCTTGGGGGTGCAAACCGGAGGCTTTGGATTGAACGGGTCTGCCAGGGGAGGGGGGGGGATTACAATGTATATGCAAATATTGTTCAAGATCTGCTACGCCCATGGTTCGCGTATATATCCCTCGGGTTGAATTTTCCATCAGTGAGGCGCCGGGGTGGCGCTTTGTCAGCGCTTGGGCGCCTGGATGGAGGCTCTGCACCTGCTCTCAGAGATGTCCGAAATCCCGCCCGACGTTCCTTGTCAGGGGCCGGAGGGGTGGTGTGGTGTGGGGGGTGGGGTGGGGTGGGGTGTGTTGGCAGGGTCGTGTTTTTGGGGTCTCCGAAGCTACTGTGCCCAGACCTGCCTCCAGCGGTGCTCCTGTTTCCTATTTTTTGAGGATAGACAAGACCTTCGCACAACTTGGGAAAGATGAAGCTCTGTGAAAAAGGGCAAGCATTTTGTCCATCCACGACATTTTGGTTTAGGGTACGCTAAGCATGAAACATCAGAACATATGAGTTTTGTGTGCCCCAGATGGTGGTTCATTCTGGAAGCAGGGCACGGATGGCTTTGACAGGAAAGGGGGGAACCAGTTTGAACGGAGTGCCAAATTTGGAGAACACGTGCTCCCTCTTTGAGTGGTTAAAGCTTTTGGGTCCAAATCTTCAGTCAAAGCAACAGGCAATGAAGCCTGCGGGTGGGCAGGAGTCTCACCCGCCACGAAGCGGTGGGCAGAACTGGGATGTCTTTTTGGAGGCGATTTTTCTGGGTTGGTTGATGGCCATAGGGGATCATACATTCAGCCGCCTACAACTTCTGGGCAGTCCGTGAAAGTAGGGCCAGACACACGTATAAACACAGTTGAAGTTGAATTGAAGGGGCTCCTCTTCGCATCATAGAAAGGGGGGAACAACTAAAACCAACAATTTCTCCTGCCGACAGGGCCACTTTTTGTTAGTCATACCATTTTGTTGCTGGTTGTGGGCAAGCTTCGTGTGTGTGGGGGCGTGAGTGGTCACTGGACCATTGGAGAGGGTGAACGGAACACCTCAGATGAACGCAAGGAACCCCTAAAAAAGCCCAACCCAAGAGGCAGCTCCTTGGGACATGGATCCGTTTTTGTTTTTGGGGGGTTCCTTCCGTCCATCGGCAGGGGAGCCACTTCCAAAGCAGCGGGCCGGACACCGAAAGCAACAGGAAGGCCGAGTCGTGGAGGTGCCAAGGGTCCGCATTCATAGCACGACGAGATATGACGAGATATGGTCCTTTTTCAATGGCAGTCCTATATGTCAATGTGGTCTCCTCGGATTCCGCCCTTTACATCCTTAGTCCCTTCTTGCTTGGTTTGTTCAGGCCTTGGCTCAAAGGCTTCCTCCTTGCACCAGGGCTTCTTGCCAACTCGGATTTCTTTTCAAACCGGAACGGGTTCTGATGGCTTTGGAGCCCTAGAAGTCCAGCATTAGCACACCCAAAATTATGCGGAAAAGGTGATGTGTAGATAATGGGCGTATGTATGGATAGCTATACAAGAAGAGAAAGCAACGCGGCGTTTGCCCAAGCTTCACCTACAGGTCCATTTCAATGGGTGGAGCCTGCCCTTTTCGGGTTGGATTGAAAGGGACATTTAAATGAAAACCACAATTTTTGGTGGACCCCCCCCCCCCCCCAAAAAAAAAAAAGCACACCCTTCTGGTGAGGCGTCCTGATTAAGTCAGAGGGCATTTTTTTCTTTCGCGATGAGGTGGTGACCTTCTCCGCACTCATCAGCTGCTGCCAGCAGAGCAACCGCGCGGAGGAAGTGACATTCTCAGCCGGCCGCGTCATAGGCGGGTTGGTTTTTTGTCGAGGGTAGTCTGTATGTTATACTCACTCCGTAGATTATTTTTGTGGCAAAGAAAAAGTTTGGACATTTTTGGGCCAGTCCACTCAGGAAGTGAGTATATCATTTGTTGTGTTTCGCATGTTTGTTAAATGCAAATGAGGTAACGCCTTCAAAATGGCAAGTATATTATGATAGCCCTTCCCTGCATGACCACTGAAAACAGTCCACTTGGGAGGGCTGTCGCCTCTCCACCTGTTGCAATGCTGGCGTAGCAAAGGCCACGCCTGTCTCTAACTTGTACTTTAGATAATTGTAGTGAGGGCCTCCCAAGAATGTGGGGGTCAATGGACCGCGCCTAATTGCAGAAGCAGATAAGATCTGATCGAACTTTGTCTTACTATGTCCAGCATTTCTCGGAATGGATTTGGCTTGCTCAGAGTTGGATAAGGTTTGAGTGCTTTTGCCTGGTGAACACCAAGAGCAGGACCAGCCATGTCTCATAGTTCTTGCAGAACAGCACGCGTTCTTTACGATGAGTGCGACTATCCTCAGGCCAAGGGAACAAGGTTGATCATCAAAACAATTAGCCTCTCACATGAGTTGAGAGTAAGCTTCTTAGTTACTGACCTGAGTTATACAGGTTGAGAGGGGTGTTTACTGGAGTTGGCTGAGGGCTGCTAGTCAATTAGCTCGGACCGCAGGTGAAGAGTTCTTTCCATTTACCAGATTCACATTTCACATACTGTTGACCCACAGCCATCAAACTTGGAGCACCCCCCCCAAGGGGGGCCCCAGCAAATCCTGGCAGGAAGCTTGGCGCAGGCCTGCCTTTCGCCCGTGGGGAACTCGAGCTGAGGTTCTAAAGCTCCTGGCAGAGCTCCAGCGCTTTATCTTGTGACGCCACCGGCAATCCTGTGGCCTTTGGGGCGCGCGTTCCTGGGGCATTTGCCAGCAATGAACTGACCATGGAAGTGAGAAATTCGAACCTGTGGAAAGGAAAGTCCTCTGTTCAAAAGGGGCTAAGCACTTCCGTGTTGTGTTGTTTGATAGTTTGTCCGGGGACTGGGAAGACGACACCGCGCGCCCAAATACCAGAGGAAGACCCCCGGGCGCGAATTGTTTAATTCTAGGGGATGCTTCGTTCTTGGTGTTTACAACCCTCCATTGATTTAGCACACCTCATTTCGCCAAGTGTTCGACCGCATGTTGAAGCCTGGAGAGCTCAGCAAGTCTGCATGTATGCGCTGGGTTTCACTCACCGCGCTTGCGCCGTTAGATCGTAGAGCCGCGATCGAATCCGCGAAATCCGCGGGTGTGAAATCCGTGCCCAAGCTTACCTGAATTCGATGAGCAATTTCCTCGGTCAATCCTTTTCCGTGCTACATAATGGGTGTTTTTTTTCCATCTCAAGGGGGCAATGAGGGTGGATTCGGTTGGCACCCAGTTTGTTCTTTGGATGGCTAACTCGTGCAACCTCCCTTGGTGTCAAAGCGAGTTCGGCCCGAAGGATTCGGATTTCTCGCTTGGGCCAATGGGCCAATGGGCTGGCGCTGTTGGGTTCCTAGAAGGTGTCGCAACAGGCGGTTCCGGGGCGGTTCCGGGGCGGTTCCGGGGATCATAAGCCTTGGTTTCTCTTCCTGGTACAGTGGACAGTTGCATCCATGAACTTTGCTTGCTTACGGATTCCTATATTCAGCTTGTAGGTGACCGGGGGCTTGTTTGATGCCCCAGGTTATTGGGCACATGGGAGCATCACGAGCGGAAAGAAATCTTATAGGTCGTGCAATATCCAGCTGTTTCTATGCCCATACTGCCTGCAGGCCGACGTGAAAGTGAGCTGGGCTGAGGCCATTGGGCAGGGGGGATGGGGGGAACAGCTCCGCCAAGCGATTGTATTGGCCCAAACGGCGAGTCTTTGCCTAGCAGAAACCTGAAAGGAACGATATATACCTCTATACCTACATCCGTAACTGGAATCCTGCCAGGCATGATCCTTGGTTCGCATGGATCCCAACAGAGGACATTGGATTTCCGAGTTCTTTGAAAGCTCGGCCTGCAATAGGAGCTATTGCCAAGGGCACTTTCCGACGGCAGCTGGGCCGGCGTGCAGCTGCTGTACTGGTTCTTGTAAGGTCGGCATCACAACGGACATCCCCATGACTTGCATGCGTTTTCTAATGTTGGGTTGAGATAGAGAGAGAGAGAGAGAGAGAGAGATGAGTTTTGCCTCAAATTCTTCCCCTGTGAGCAGAGAATGGAGAGGAATTGCAAATAATGTATAGGCTTGACAAGTCCTGATTTATTTCTGGCCATGTGTCAGTCAGCTTGTTGCATCACCGCTTCCCAGCAGCACAAAGCAGCACTAGACGAGCGCAACGCAACTCTGTGGCAAGAAAACACAACAATTCTAGACCAGTACTATGCTGCGGTACTTCCTGCGAGACTACTTGAGTAGGCCCAACTCTGATCCCCATTTTGCTGGTTTTTCCTGTTGACTCCCCCCCCCCCCTCCCCAATTTGTGTTTTTGTTTTTTTGGCGGGGGCCTTAGCCAGTCACTCCCACGTGACACTCAAGCAAATGGATGATTTGTGGTTGCAGGACCTCCTGCCGGTGGCCAATTCGAAAGGCGTTTCCGCTTGCGGATGTCAAGGGGAGCTTCAAGTCTTTGCGGCTGCCACATTTTCGCACTTACCTCACCTTCCGTCCCCTAGTTGGTGAATTGTTTCGGCGGTTTGGAGGTTAGGGGTGCCCTTCATTTGGTTGCAACAAGAACCAGGGCTCGACCCCGCCCTCACCAGTCCAGACAACCGAAAAAGGGATGTGAAACCCGGCCCGGCAAAGATTTGGCAACCTGGCGGTTGTGTCGGGTCGGCAGGTGGAGGTGGACCTCTACCCTTTTGTGCTCGAGGCTCATCCTCAGCTGCAGTCAGACCTTGCCGCTCGCCGAGTCATCCGAGCAATTGATTTCCCTTTGGGTTACCTCCCAATTGGGCTTGGTTTCCCTTCAAAACACAATGCTTGGCTCAGCCAACCATTTGTTTGTAAAGCTGGACTCGCAAACCCTGCTTCGATGGTAATCGACTCCATTGATGAGTGGTCGCATGGAGGGAAAGCTGTCCGAATGGGGACGCTCAACTCACGTCGGTTGTTTGCGGTTGGGGGGGAGCCGAGCCGAGTAGCAAAAGCCGCACGGAAGTCAGTGGTTTGGTGGAGGGAAGGGGGGATCGCTTTTTTGGGAAGCGCGCTAGACGCTGCGCATCAGGGGCATGCTCGCGTCTCTCTGAGGCTGAGCTGTGCGAGGCCGATGGCGGCTTCACTGGACGGCTGGCATTCAAATGAAGCGGGGCCAACAAACGGCAGCCCACCCCCAACCAAAAAAAACAAACAGCTTTCTGGGCTGAGAAGCAAATTTAAATGAAGAGAAGGTCTTGGCAGATTGCACAACCTGTTGTTGAACTGTACGCCCTTTCGGTGGCTATTGTCTGACCCTTGGCCGAGCGGGCTTCACTGCCTTAGGGATCCAGTATGTGGAGCTCGAACACGCAGTGCACAGATTTGTGGCATTTGCGTTGCTTGACCTGTGTTGCCCTCAGGCCCACGGAATAAACGTCGCCGGAGCATCCGCCAACTGGCGGCGACTGGCTGAAAGCGAGGACTCGATGCAACCCGTGGAGGTGGGGCAGGTGAGTTGCGCTTTGCGAAAGCTTGCCTGTCATGGAAATACTGCCGCCTGGAACCCATAAAACAACTTGGCCACAAAAGATGGCTTTTCCGGATGTGCTCATGAAAACAATAATTTAAATATGTCCTTAACTGGTGCCCCCAACAAATTTCCCGGAAACACGGGGCAGAATCCCGGGTTTTCGCCAAACCGTATGTCATCAGCTCGTGCCCCCAACGGTTTTTGCTGCTGGAGGCCTCCGCCCATGTCCTGGCGGCGGCCGCCGCGCTGCAGGACGCCCTCCGCAGCCCCGCCGGGTACACGGCCCGGCGCACCGGGCGCAGCGCCGGGGGCCCCGGAAGCGAGCCGAGGGGATAAAAGGGCTCAGGAATCTGAGAGAGTCGGGTGGAAAATGGGGTGAATGTGGAAGGATGAATTGAATCCCGTGCTAATAGAGTGTTTTGCCCCGAAAAGTGATCCGGATTGCCACAAGGGCACCCCCCCAGTCAAAATCGACCAGGGGGTTCTGCTTAAATTAGGGGTTAACATTGATCATGGTCATTTTGTTTTTGCCAGGATCTTGGGAGTATTTGTCAGGGTGGCGCTTGTCAATTTCTTGCCAGCTCAGAGCTTTGGTTTGCGGCCAGAAGCGTATCCATAGTATCCAAGAGTCTGGCCTGTTTTCTTCTTGCTAGAGATTTGTGGTTCGTCACAATTCACCCTGATGCAAGCACGGAAACGGATAAAGCCTTCAAACATGAAAAATGGCACGGAACGGCCAAGATCCCCTTAAATTCAACAGAGTTCAATTGAGAGTGACTGCACATGGGTTCGTGTTTACAATGAGGATGCGTGCGATTCCGTGTGTGTGTGTGCGCCAAGCAGGGATCAGGTGTTTTTTCTTCTGCAAGCAAACGCTGGCCAACGCAGATTGGGTGGTGGGTGGGTGGGTGGGTGGGTGGGTCGGATGTCATTGTTTCCTCTGCCCTGATTTGTTTCAATCATGTTCTTCGCAGCCCAAAACAAGGACGCAAAGTTCGGCTCTACCAGCGCAAATAAACATGCGCAAGTGATGCAGGCCCAGTTGGCCGCAAATGTTTGCAGCATTGCCAGCATGCTGCAAATGCACGCAATGATGCTTCTTGCTTGCATCATAATTTCTGTTGGGCTTCAAAAGGGCAAAGTAGATGCATTGCACACCTTCGCAGGGTGCAGCTTGCGCTTTCTTGGCCCAAGTCCCCCGAGGTGCCATACCTGCGCCCCGGCAGTGGGAGGGAGGCGCATGTACCGAGCGGCAAGTCGACCAAGACTCACCTAGGCAGCTGGGAATGATTCCCCATTATTTTTATTTATCTTTTTCTTCAGGTTCCTGGTGACTTTTCCCGAGAAGAATGCCCTTCTCACGGGAGGTATGAGTTTTCAGTCCACCATGTGGTTGTGCAAAGTGCAAACTATTGCAAGGTTTTAGGGATCCTGACCTTCTCGTCGCATATTTCATGAAGGGTTCACTCATAAAGGGATACAACTATTGAACATGTGCAGGCTCACAATCTTCCATTTGCTTTCGGTGTGTGTTGCCTGGCTTTCGAGCAAAATGGTCAGAGCTGGTAAATGTATTGTTGGTTTTTCCTCTCAGTGGCACCGAACAAGCGAATGGACCACATATAATATTTATACATATCTCCATGTAGATCTATTTACAAACCTATAGGTCTGATCTCTTCGCCCATGTTTATACATAGGTACATACATGCATACACACACACACACACACACCTGCATCCAGCTTGCCACGGAGACTCGTGACTCATCCAAGGCTGACGTTTCTGGAGGCGCCCGGCGGCCCAGCCTTTCCCCGACGAAAGCGAGGGTCGCAGGGCTTGGCCCTCAGGAAATGATTCGCCCTTGTCTTCTGGCCAAACCAAAATTAAACTGATCCTCCTTGAGATTTGAAAAATGGGGTCTGTAAGGTACTTTGAGATCGTCATTTTGTAGGAAAGGTGTTTTGGGCCCCGTTGAAAGGTGTTTGTCATTTTGTAGGGCCAATTCATTACAGGCATGATGCATGCGGATTTGCGTATAAAGCCTCTTTCGAGCGTGCCGCAAATACGTCCGAACAATGTTAGCAAACAGGTCTTCACACGTCTTGTTTACCGCATGACGACGCATCCTCTCCATCGACCGCCGGGCGCTTGCAAGCAAGGTAAACAAGCCACCTCAGAAAAGCAATGAGTAACCTTCAGGCCTTTTTTTTTTGGCTCCAGTTCGCGTTGGTGCTTTTTCGAACCCGAAGTGGTTTCACAGGTGTGGTGCAGCAACAAGTGTCTAAATCAGCCTGTCTACTTGCCATCTGAATCTCCTTGGCAGTGACTTTCACCTTCCCTTTCGCTTGGCCATATTTTAACCACTGGAGCCTTCTGTGCTTTCCCTCCATGCCCACTTCTTTGCCTAGGGCTCGAAAGCCGCACGCATTTGCACAGCCGCGTTCGCTTCGCTTTCGGCGTGCCCAAGCCTTCCGAGGTGCGCCCAAAGAGACGCGAAAGCAGAGCCGCCGCTGCTGGCACTGCTGTGCCTGGAGCAGCTCGTGCGGTCGCCCTTTGTGGACGAGCGCGGGGAGGAGCAAAACCAGCGGGGGCCGGGGAGTTTCCGTTTTGTTTGCATTGGTCCAAGCTGCGGGCGGGGGGAGGGGGGGGAATAGCCTGTGCGCCAGGAGCTTTTGGCGCCGCGGCGAAATTTGGGGACGGCACGGACGGGCCCGCGTGCGGCTGGGGAAGGGAGCGGCATGCCTCGTGTTATGTTAGCCAGGGCTGGAGATGTTGCACCTTGAGTCAAACGAACGCTTTCATCGGCGAAGGTTGCTTTGAAGAAAAACACCTTCCGAACCACTTCCGAACCACAGCTTCCTCTGAGCTTCAGAACATATGGCGCTGAGGTCAGACGAATGCGGTTCCTGCGCAATTGTTTGGTGGCCGCACCTCGCGCAAACCACTTCTCTGCTAGTTTGCGCGCACGCCTTCCATTCCTACCGTCCGGATTGAAGAGGTTGGAGAACGAATTGATATCTTTTCAGCACAGGAACTTGACTATCAATTGTTCGCCTTGTCGCTTTTTGTTGCAAATGAACCCTGCGAATCTTCATAGTAGTCATTTGCTGTTTGCCCTTGCACTATAGCCTTTTTGTCACCCTGATAGGCTTTGTCACAACTTGGGGTCTTTCGTCAAACCTGATTTATGGGAGCCGTTGCTTTTGTTGTTTTGTCTTAATCTGTTGCACCCGTCGCTGGAATCAAAGAAAGCCCCTAGTTTGGGAGAAAGCTTTCCCATCTAGCCCACGAGAAATTCCATTCAACATGGTCCAGGAAAGGCCCACAGTCGGTTTCCATGTTTTGGGTACGAGGGTAAAGGTGATCTCGGAATGGTAGCTGTAGAACCTCCAATGTAAAGCAATCATGAAGTTCCCGCTAGACGAAAGTTGTCTTCGGGTTCCGGTCCTTTCAGCTTCCATGCTTTTTTTTGGAAGATTTAACGCGAGCTTCACATTTGCTCGTTTGTTATGTAAAATAATGTTGAAAGATGATTAAACACTCTTTCAAAGCAACCTTGCATCTGGTCGCCGCCTTTACCCTTTTAAATCCTTTTAAATGCAACACTGCAGGTGTTGCTTTTAATCAACACCGACTGCAGTTCGTTAAATCCCGCGCCGAGGGCCTGCTGGTGCAGAGGCTGTGCGGTCAAATTCCTCCGACGCGCGCGAATCTGCGGGCTCTGCTGCACTGCTGTGCCTTGCCTGCGGCTGGTTCATCTTTCGCACCTCAGTTTCTAATGAAAACGGCAGAGAACGGCCACAGAAGGCTTGTTTGGAAGGACTGGAGTGAAGAAGAACTTTGACAAATTCATTCATGACCAACATTGAAGCTTGGATAATATGATGATAGTTTCTATACATTTAGCTCATTCCAAACATATACAAACTGGACCTGTCTCTGTTGTTTGTCTTGGCCCAAAGTCCTGAACTAGTGACTTTTTGTGTCTGGACGATTTTAGTGGCACACACACAAAGTTTCAACTTTTGGCCAACCCACTCAGGAAGCGAGAAAACAACAAGCTGTCGTGGTGCTTCTGGGTTTGGCCTCAGGTGATGGCAACACCGCGCCGCAAGCTCGGCGTGGGCGGGTGGGCGGCTACCACCATGGCAAGCCATGTTTTCAAGGGGGGCCCCGCGTGGACCTACAAAAACAAGGGGTCCTTTGTTCCAATTCAACCCTTGCCAGATGAATCATGGCTTTGTGGTGCCCACAAGTTGCGGATTAGGATTTGGGATCCTCCCCCGATTTTGAACAACCCAGATCGATGGCCCTGGTTTCTGTTTGATCAGTCACAACCATTTACCAGCTTGCAGGGGGTCCCCTTTTGGTTGCTAGACAGCAAGGAAACCAGCCACTGTAAGGTTGTTTCTTTTGGACAACCCCATCCCTTGTTCCAAACAGACACCTCGGCCGAAGCGGCGCGCACCGAGGTATTGGGCGCTGTCCCAGCACAGGGTCGCAGCGGTGCCAGAGCCGTCGCCCAAGGCGACGGTGGGAGTTCTGGTGCTGGAGCCGGAGGACCGAAGGCGTCGCCTTCAAACGAGCCAAGCGACGTGTTCGGCCCGTCTTTAAAGGGAAGCCAACAGCGAACATCGCAATTTTATTGGTTTCCCTTTGGGAAAAGCCCAATGGAGGGGCTCTTTTGCTGTTGCAATTGTTTTCTTTCCCCACTTCAATGGCGTGGCAAGAGGGAGTTGGGTGCATTTTTTTGCCAGGTATGGCGCCCAGGGGGATCCCAAGGCAAGCAAAGGTCCTCGGCGGCTTTCTCGGAACTTGCCACTTGTCCTTTGAACTTCCAGCCTGTCGGAGCCAAAAGGCTCTAGGAAAACTGCCTTCAGTTCAGGTGAGGCTGCGGGTTTCATAAAAATTGTTGATTGTATTGCAGCCTCGAAGCTTTGATATGAGGGGGTTGGCACCCTTTCCCTGGCAGAGTTGAGAGTTTTATAAGCACGAGGCTCCACTCCGTGTCCGAGCCGGACCATGTCCGCTCATAGAACTGATCAGGGTGTCTTAAAGCAAACAGCTTTCCGGTCAGGTTCCTGTCTAGTGATTGGGAGGGCACTTGATTCGCTTTCTTCGATCCGGCCAAGTGCCAGACTGGTTCCCTCCCTCTATCGCCAACGGCCTTTTTGGGTCACGGACTCCAGGAAGCAGACTGAGTTGCCACCGGGGTCCGGGCACGAAACGACACAACCATCCGGTTTCCTTGGCTACCGAAAAGGCACGCCCTATGAGCCCTACGAGTTTTGCGCGTCTCCTCCATGCTATCCACAAAGCCGCGTTTGGAAGCCCAGACTCTCCCAGACCTTTCCTTGAAGGCTCGGGGCGTTTGCTGGGAGGTGCCTTGTTTCTCACCGCGTGGCGCAAAATCAATCAAGCTCGGATTCAAGAAGCAACTGGCCATGATTAGAAAACGAAAATGGTTGGTGGACATCCGCCAGAAAATTGTCCACAAGGGTCCCCAAATGAGCGGAGCTGTGCTTCGGTCGCTGATTTGGGTCCAGCCTTTTTTTGAGGGGTCCCCTTTCGCTTGGCTTTAAAGGGGGACCGAAAGGAAATCAACAGCTTTCGCGGTCCCCTAAAATGACGAGCCCGTTTAGGGAATGATCTGGTTGATTCCTGAAGTCTGAACGTGGCCAATTCGTGCTTGCGGCGCGAGGACCCATCTGCCACACGAAAGGAGTGGCAGATGGTTTCGACCCCAGGCAGTGAGGTTTTGACGTTGGTCGGGTCCGCTGGGATGACTTTGGGCCTTTGAGCTTTGTTCACCTTCTGGTACCTTGTTTGACTGGTTGACCCCCCCCCCCCAACGGCCTAAGGTCAGAGGCCACAAGTCCGGGAGAGGCCCACCAGGAAACTCGACTGACTGAATAGAGAATCTCACCAGGAAAACTGATCGACTCATTTGGAGGTGGGTCAAAACCAATGGTACCATTTTGGGGTAGGTGCATTACCCATTTTTGGCATTATTTTAGTGGTTGGATTGGGATGTTCACTGGGGGTGCGGGATTTTGACCGACTGAATTCACCTAATTATCCGCTCGACCCGCTGAGGACCAGGTCCTGAGCCACCCAGCCGTGCTGAACCTGCGACAGGCGCAGCGAAGGTTGAGGGGGGATCGGTGTGACTTGTCCCAACCTTCGGTGGGAAGTGGAAGGCCGTTTTGGTTTTTTCCATGCCTCCTTTTTTGGAAGGAATTTCCCATGACTGGAAGCTTCGCTTTCACACAGGGGGCGCAGCAGATGTCAGAAGGTTGCTCCTCCCAAAACAACAGGGAACATTGATTAGCTTGTTTACTATTGCAACTTCCGTATGGTTCTTAAAATTGAAGCCAGGTTCTTCCGTCATCCCCTTGACAGGGACGCCCGAATCTGTCGTTGGCAGACACTGATGTGGCTTATTGAGCCACCAGGGGTCGCCTCAAATACTGTTGATCACTTTCTTTGTGTGTTTCGCCATGTTCAAGTGAAGCCTGTGGGGCCTTTGTTCCCCAACTGCCGGTACAGCTCATTGCCATGTTGTGTGCCAGCTGACGCCGCTTTGGGTAGTCGCTTCGTTCACCTGGGCAGGTGGCAGCGTCCGAAACCCTCGATTTGTCCCATTGGCCTTCTTTTTGTAGACGGCCAAAGGAGGCATTGGCCTTTTGGGAGGCCAAACTAAATATTAGGGGCCTGACCAAATGGCCGGTTGACCGTTTAGATATCTTTAGATGATTTTGATCGGATGAGTTTTAAGTCTCGGCTCGAAGCCTGTCAGCTGGTGGACTAGCGACAGCAGAAGTTCGAGTGCTGGTTCACATGACTGAGCCGCCATGGATGCAGACCCTGGACCAGGGGGTCTTCACCGGGGTGGTTCACGCTGGGGCTCATCATGCCCGTGCTGCCCCTGGAGGCCAACTCCTGCAGCTGCCGGACCAGCTCCTCGCACCAGGCCAATCGGCCACGCTCTACAGCTTCAAGGCCAGTCAGATGGCGGATGGAACCATCCTACTTGCTCGGCAACCTGATTCGCAGTGGTTCCTCCACGAGCCCATCACCATCCAGGCCTACCAGCACATGAAAGAAATATGCGCAGGCATGGGGGGCATTGGCATGGGAGCCACCTCGGCCGGTATCATGCCCATAGCACACCTGGAGATCAATCCTCTCAGCTGCCAAGCATTGACCCTGAACGGCGCCTCCAACGTCATCCAGGGCGATGTCTGCAACATCGCAGACGTGGCCAAACTACATGGAGCAGGCTCACTACGGCGAACAGTGATCAGTGCGGGCTTCCCTTGCCAACCGTACTCCACTCAAGGAGACATGCAGGGGGCTAAAGACTCACGCAGCTGGACCTTCCTGGCCACCCTGAGGGCGGCGTGGCTTATGCAGGCTCCGGCGATACTACTTGAATGCGTTCCTGCCGTACAAGGTCACCCCTTCATCCGGGAGAACCTGAAGCTGCTTGCGGACGCGCTCGGCCTCCAGGTGAAGACGCTCACCTTGTCACTTCAAGATCAGTGGCCATGCCGCCGTGATCGATGGTGGGCGCTACTTGCCCCACGAGAATTCGACTTGACCAACCTCAAACCCTGGGCCAAAGACGACCTCCACAGCACCATCGGGCACATCATTCCTGACTGGCCGCTGTGGGACAACCAAGTTGAAGAAGAACTACAGCTCACCGAGACCGAGCTCTACCACTACAACAATCATCTCTTCGGATGGGAGACTCGGCTCCTGGAACAATCCGGAATATGCCCCACGATCTTACACTCATATGGCAGTGTGTTCACAAAGTGCCCATGTGGATGCCGGAGTGCAGCATTCCGTCCCGAGCGACTCCAACGCGGAGGGGTCAGAGGCTGCTACGTCCTTTCCCAGACCACCGGCAAGCCTCGTTTCTTGCACACGGCAGAAGCAGCACTCCTTTGCACGGTACCACCAAACTTCAAGTTCCTGATCGGTCAAATTGCGGCCCCTCTTCAAGCCCAGTGGATGTGCCTACACCTCGTTCAGGCGACACAGCTTTTCTACGGCTGGGAACCGGTTGTGGAACCCCAAATCCACATCCAACACACCAAGAACCACCTTCAATGGCAACGACACCACCTTTGGACCACTGAACACTCACACGCCACCCGGCATGTGTGGATCAAGGACCAACATGGGCACAACCTTCACGTGCTCCGTGAAGGACACCAGACCGTCCACGACCTTCTTCAGGCCGAGGTCAGGCTCATCGACCCGGGGGCCTGTGTCCAGCTATGGGATGAACCACGGCTGCCATTCTCCAAGATCAAGGCTGGCAAGGCCCCTACACAATTGTCACCAAGCACACCTCTGCCGCAGCTACCACAGACATCGACATTGAGATCACCTTCCACATCGCCCACCAGGCCACATCAGTCACGCTGCCCCAGGGAGCGCACCTGTTCCAAGCATACGCGGCCGGCCACATCTCACCCAGCATCACTCCGGTAGACCTGCAAGGACAACCACTCCGGCTAGACACCAGAATCTGGCAAAACACTGTCATTCCTTGTCGCTCCCCAATCACGGCAGCCGGCGACTCCTTGGAGGGACTCAACGACCAGCAAATCAGTGCGGAGCTCACCTGGATTGCACGCCTACATGGGGAGCTTGGCGGCGATCCTTTTCAATGCCCAGCTCCTCTCCTTATCCAGCACCACCACGACGACGGACCCACCATCGACCACAACACCCTACAACTCCTCGAGCAATGCAACCCACAGCTTCTCACCACCATCATCTTTGCCTATGATGATCACTGGGCGCTCCTGACCACCGTGCCAACCACCACAGGCTTTACAGCAACCATCTATGACGGTCTACCCGCTCGATCCCTCGCGGGAGGGCACCACTTGGCCCAACGCCTCGCCGAACTCTGGGAGACCGAATGCACCAGCGTCCACAACTTCACAATCTTTGACCAACAAGATGATTGCTCCTGTGGCACAGTCGCCCTGGCACACCTTGGCCACGTTCTCAACCTCTGGCCTGACAACTACCACCCAGACACCACAGCGTGGCATCATCAAGTCCGTGAGGGACATCCTACCACCACGCACATGCACGTCGCCAGAGGCCCACCGCAACTCGCCCTGGACAACACACCTCTCTCTCTCAGCAACCTCCTTATCGAGAAAGGAGTTCCTCCTGCCCTTGCGACAGATCGAGCAGCAGCAGTTATGAAACAACTCGGCACCAAACCAATCACCGACGCACTGCACTCCAAGAATCCTTGGAGCTTTTTGAAGTCACTGGGCAACAAGCCAGCACACCCATTCCTCTGGGTCAAGCCCGAGGAACTCATGGTCAAAATCCAACAACGAGCATCCACACAATACGGGATTTCCACCTCAAACAAGAAAAAGACCAGGGACAGCACTGACACTCAACGCAACCGACCGGACCCTCAACTCGATCCCAGCGAGTTACAGCTGATACCCAACACTTTTGTTGGAGAAGACGGCATCCCGGTCGATCACCTCCATATCAGCTCTGTCGGAAAGGGCAAAACAGGCATTGCCTTCGCCACTGTCCATCAGGCAATGCCATACCTACAGGCAGCAGAACAACTCAGCGCAGGACCTCTTGCAATCCTCACAACCACACCAGCACCATCCATTTCAACTTTGGTCACCGAAGACCTCATGTACCCTGCCATGCACGCCAACACACTGGAGCCTCTGCTCATCCACGGCAGCCTCATACAACTCGGCAAGGTGCTCATAACTCGACCAGCTCTTCGGCAACCTCCCGACATGGCCCCAATTGGCACCAACACCATCAAGCTCGCGGTCTACCAAGACCTATGGCAGGGGGACTGGCAAGTCTTCATCGAGGGCCCCATGAAGCAGGTCATGATGGCCTTCCCCATCCTCACACTCTGCAAAACACCAGGATGCGGAAACTCCTGCCAGAAATTCCATCCACCTGTCGACGAAGACCATCTCGACAACGTCATCCTTGACATCTGGGGTCGACAATGGGCCAGCCCATCTGGGGCCAGAGTGAACAAAGACAAGGCGGTCTGCTGGACGGCGCTAGTTCGCGTCCCTGAGGTCATCACTCCCAACCTCCTCGCCCTCTCAGGAACCAACGGGCTCTTCATCGACCCACGCGACCAATCCGGCAAAGCGCCGGACGAACGCTATGGAGTCATCTGGCTACCAGGAGCCACGCTCCAAACTGCACACCACAAGCACCGCACCACCGAGGGATCCATCTCGGTCATCCGGCTTAATGACCGCTACGGCCTGCGGTTTAACACTGCACAACTACCCCAGGCACACCACACACTCAAGCCGGACGAGCCCTACCTGCAGGTCAAGGTAGTAGACATATACAAGCTTTTCCCTCTGCCACATGGCACTCAGCGCCAAGGCCTCATCAAGTCACTTGCATCCTGGGGATGGCGCGCCAAACCACTTCAACCCTGCAAGGGCGACCACAACGGCATCGGATGGGAAATTGGCGCTGAATCGGCACCCCCAAGCAACATCCTGCAAGGAGCCCATGGGGACGTTCTGGTCACCAAACTCCGGTCCATCCGATCCGCTCCAGCCAGCTCCAATCTGGTTGCGTTCGACCGCACCCAGAAATTCCTTCACAGCAACAACGACCCGTCAGCCGCCTCCTCCTCCACACAACGGACCAACGACCCCTGGCAAGCCGGGAAAGACCCATGGTCCCAATGGTTCAACCAACACCCCCTCGACGGCAAATCCGCACCAGGACCACCAGCCGCAGACAGAATCCAGCAGGCCGAGGAACGCATCAAAGCAGACCTACAGGCCACATTCCAAAAGCAGCTTGACTCCCATTGGAGCAGCTGGGACGGAGATCACGACATGGAGACCTCTGACCAGACTCGCTTCGAGACCCGCTTCCACCAGCTCGAAACCAATGTTGCGGAACTCCAAAAGCAAAACACCAAATTCGAGCACTGGTTCACGGAGGCGGCCACAGCCAATGCAGCCACCAACTCCCAGCTCGCCTCAGTTGCCCAACAGGTCAGCTCCCACCAGACGGAGCTCACGATGCTCAACAAAAGCGTCAATGAGCGCCACGACGAGCTGCGACGGGAA